GGCCAAAATTATATGCATTATCATTGCAAACTCAATTAAAAAATAGGTGTTTAATTGCATCCTAGAGTTTTCTGGCCTCGTTCGGATTTTAAATCATTTAGTGTCTGGAAAGTACTTACCATCTAATTATTTGGAAATGCTTTAGGAAGGATGTCAGGGAGGATTATTTATTTCTTTTTGGTTTTTTTCAACTAAATAAGCCTAGAATGTTGTCTCCTCCTTAAATACATCGTTGTCATTGGCCTTACGGGAGCACAAATGCCTTTTTGTGCCTTTTGCTGGTTTTCCGTAGTGATAAGGAGTTACAAATGGAAAGTAGAGCGCCAAGAATCCTTTGGTTATTTTCATCTCGATAGTCTGCCACGCCAATTATTGCCCCAAATAACACGTTTGAATCAATTCTTAAGGAAGGTTTGAATGAGAAACGATGTCAAGCGTTGCCTTCTCCAGCCCTGGTGCCGTTACACTGCTCTTCCACCCTCCCCGGGGAAGGAAAATGGGGAAGGTTTCCTCCAAATAAAAACCACAGGTGCTTTAAATGCCTTCTATCGTGGGGTGCTCCCGGAGACACCCAATCCCTTCTCCCTGCTCCTGGAAAGGTGTGGGAGGTGGAGGCTGATCTGAAGGGATGCTGAGGACCTAAGGAGGTCCAGAGAGGGGATTCTGCCACTTTACTCTGCTCTGGTGAGACCTCACCTGGAGTGTTGTGTGCAGGTCTGGAGCCCTCAATAGAAGAAGGACATGGACCTGATGGAGAGGGTCCAGAGGAGGGCCACGAGGATGATGAGGGGGATGGAGCACCTCTGCTCCGAGGACAGGCTGAGGGAGCTGGGGTTGTTCAGCCTGGAGAAGAGGAGGCTCCGGGGAGACCTAATAGCAGCCTTCCAGTACCTGAGGGGGGGCTACAGGAAGGCTGGGGAGAGCCTGTTTAGAAAGGCCTGTAGTGACAGGACGAGGGGCAATGGCTTCAAGCTGGAGGGGAACAGATTTAGACTGGAGATGAGGAGAGGGTTCTTCACTGGGAGGGTGGTGGAGCACTGGGACAGGTTGCCCAGGGAGGTGGTTGAGGCCCCTTCCCTGGAGATATTCAAGGTGAGGCCTAGTGAGGCCTGATGAGGCCCTGGGCAACCTGGTCTAGTTGGGGGTGTCCCTGCTGACTGCGGGGGGGTGGGACTAGATGGCCTTTGGAGGTCCCTTCCAGCCTGGGCAAGTCTATGATTCTATGATTCTATGAAAAACCAAAAATGGGGCTGAATTCATGAAATCGACTAAAAAACGGGCCCGGGGGGGAGCTGGGGGGTGGGTGTGGGTCAGCCCAGGGCGGGGATGTCACTGTCACCGTCACCGTGCCCAGTGGTTTTGGGTGGAAGGTGGTACCGATGGCGGGCACGGAGGGAAATTAGTTACCAGACCTCGGGGGAATGGTTTAAACCAGAACCAGGACAGGAAAAAAAAAGATAATAATTGGAAAAAAGGCAAGATTTTACTTTTATTTCCCACCCTCCCTGACCCCCCATAGTCACCCCCGGCTGATGGAAGCAGCACGAGAGGAGGACACCATGGCCATCCCTCGGGGACACCGGGAAAGATCTTTCCTTTGAACAAACACTGAAACGATGAGGGGGGGTGACAAAATGGGGGTGGGGATGGAAAAAAAAAGGCTCCGGGGAGGCCGGGACTGGGCGGCACAGACCGTTCTTTCTTCGCTGGACTTTTCTCTGCCCCTGGACACGATAAACAATCCTTTTGTGGGAGAGATAAACAAGGGGAGGTGGCTGGAGGGGAACAAAGGCTGCGATTCAGCCCCAGGATCAGCTGAACCCTCCGCATGACGGGCCCCGCACTCTCCAGCGGGGTGGCCACCGGCTACCACCGGCCCAGCAGCCCCCCCAGCAGCCACCAGCACCCCCCAACGGGGCCGTTTCCCCACCTTCCCTTGAGGGAAACACCTTATGCCCCCCAAAAAACCCAAGTGGGAGGATGGACAAGGGTGGCAAAGCCACCCAAAGGATGGTTGCCCGGCGGGTGGCATCACGAGTCGCCCGGTGGCACATTCCCCGCGTTCCTCGCCCACGGCCGGGGGAATGCCGGCCCCCACTGGCCCCTTTGGCTTCCCCCCACCCGGGAAAGCCATTCCCAGGGGGAACCGGCCTTGGGGGTCTTCCCCTCGGCCTGTTGGGATCTGGGGGGGCAGAGGCTCCACGCTGGGGTTACTGGCCCCACAGAGAGGGGTTATGGGCCCCACGGAGGCCCCAGGTCTGGGGTTGAGGCTCCACATTTGGGGGTTCAGGCTCCACATTTTGGGGTTCAGGCCCCCTCAGTGGGGGTACAGGCCCTGTGCAGTGGGGTTTAGAGCCCACACTGGGAGGATTCAGGCCCCACACGTGCCCCACAAAGTGGGGTTCAGGCCCCATGAAGGGGGTTCAGGCCCCATGAAGGCCCCACAGGAGGCATTCAGGCCCCACACAGGGGGGTGCAGGCCCCATGAAGGGGGGTTCAGGCTCCGCTCAGATCCCACAAAGGGGGGTTCAGGCCCCATGAAGGGGGTTCAGGCCCCACAAAATGGGATTCAGGCCCCATGAAGGGGGTTCAGGCCCCATGAAGGCCCCACAGGAGGCATTCAGGCCCCACACAGGGGGGTGCAGGCCCCATGAAGGGGGGTTCAGGCTCCGCTCAGATCCCACAAAGGGGGGTTCAGGCCCCATGAAGGCCCCACAAAGCGGGGTTCAGGCCCCATGAAGGGGTTCAGGCC